AAGATTCAGGCACAAACCCAACCTTTAGAACAGCCAAATCAAAATGGTTGGCAGTAGCAATATTGCAGTAGCACCTGGAAGCCCTGATCTGAGCCACCGCAGGCTTGGCTGTGGGTAGAGACATCAAGAGAGAGCTTCAGGCTTCCTGAGTTTGCAAACTAAGGAGATAGGCAGATGAAGATGAAGATGAAGATGAAGATGAAGATGAAGATGAAGATGAAGATGAAGATGAAAACGAGACAAAGCGATCTGTTTAAATCCTGCTGTAGAGCAATGGCAGAGCTGGGAATACCCTCCAGCTGTGGACTGAAGGCAGAGAGAATGACTTTGGCATGGCTTCCATATCTGTAGTCTACTGCACAGGATTATAATGCTGATAATGAAACCAACGTTGGAAACTACAGTAGGAGCCCAATCTGCTTCCATGAATGGGATTTCATTAATATTAGCAGAAAGAGAGACTATCTCCTTCCTCTGCTCAGTTTGTGACCACTATGCAGACTGGCTTTAACAGGTCCAGTCCACTTCCATTCTAGTGATCTGCATATAGCCCTGATGGGCCCAGGTGTCCCAGTGGTGGACTTACTTCGGCAAATAAACGCACAACCAAATCAGTCTTTGGGAAGCCTGGTTATAAAGCAGCCCTAAACCGATGAGGCAAGAAGAGCCTGCAGTTAGAGCACAGGCTTGGGATTTAGCAAACACTTGTTCAATTCCTAACTTCCCTTGTTTGAGCTTCAGCAAGCCAGGAATGCCTGAGAAGAAACTCCAGTCACACGCTGCTCGGCTGCAGGAAGCTGGAAAGCATGTGGAACAGAAGAGGTGGATCCAATGAAGCAGCACAGCTCCCGTGCACACAGGGGACTCAGCCAAGGGCTGTAACAGATGTGTTTTAACCCATGCCACTGAGCTATTTGGGATCTGACTCTCATTGCTCTGATGCTCATTCATGTGTCTTCCTGACAGAAGACCAATAATAACAATTAGTATCATATAAGGAGCAGTGGCTTGTTGCCAGCATTAGCAGACTCTTAAGCACCAAGGGTTTCCAATCTACTTTTTTATCCCAGCCATGCATAAGGCAGAGGTCAATCAACATTAATCAGCCTCGTTCTGGGCCAGTTCCTTCAGCACATTCAGCATGCTGAATTGCAATCACTGTTTCTCAGTGGTAAGAGGAGTCCTCACCTGGTCAACTTCTTTGCCTCTTTCTTTAAGCTAGTCAAAACAAGTATGTTTGCTGATGGCCAAAATACATGACAGAAGCTAGGCTTGGCCATGCTGGAGATGGCCTCCATGGCCACTGAGGATGAGGCTGGCTAGGCAGTCTTTGCTGGGTTGTGTTGTCATTCTGAGGTTTGAATAAATCCTCTTCCATCCAGTGCTGGTGCCCAATCTGTCCTCCCATCTTCCTCCCAATGCTTTTCAGAAACTTGCTCTCTCAGCAGCTCTAGACCAGGTCAGGATTACTCCAGGGTAACCCTATCTGGTCCAGCTAAGGGAATGCAAATTTGAGGCTTCTTCTCAGCAAATGAACACACTCCAAGGAAAGGCTCTGGAAGAGATCCTGATGACTTCCATATTATTTCCAGTAAATTTTGTGCTGATTCTTGGCACAAACACCGGAAATGAATAGGCTAGGTCAGGAATGTAAATAAAGTGAAACACTGGGATTTAATCTAATCTATAATTATAGTATCTGTGGTGTAGGGAAGAGAAGCTGGTGTGTTTGCACTGCAGCTTCACAGAAGAGCTGGAGGGAAGTTCATCTCCTGTTCCAAAATTTCCCTTTTTGGCTCCCATTCTTGGTGTCTCCCCAAGTATCACAAACAAGCATGCTGTGCTGGCAACCTGCTTTCCAGAAGAYGGTCAGGTATAGCTCAGCAAAGAGGTGTCTTGAGGTGCTCAGGGAATGGCTGGGTAGAAAGCTGCAATGCTGAGTTAGGCTGGGGGCTTTGAGAGGTTGCAGGATGCTGAAAGGTCGTCACAGCAGTAGAGATTGGTTGGGTTTGCTGGGGAGGTGGAGGGTGCTCGGGCCAGGAGCCAGGTAAGTTCAGTCCTCCAGCCAGAGTTTGGCCTCTGGGACACCATGAGCCCTCGACTGGTATTTGGTGTTCAATGCATCAGGAATTGCCTCTCTCAGCACAGTCCTAGCTCCCAAAGCATTACTGTGATTGGCATTAACTGCTCTCCTGGCCAGCTGGGACCAGGCAGGGACTAGCAACCCTACAACACACTACATAAAGACAAAGGTAAAAAAGGGGCCAGCAGGCACCATATTTTCACCAGACTGAAACTGCAAAGGACAAAGAAATTAGTTCTACTTTTGTTAGTTTTTGAGATTACAGAAGTCGCAAGAGCAGAGAAATCAATCAGACTTTGTTTGTTTGAAGAGCATTTTATGGTTTTGTTTTCAATGTTCAAGCCCAGCTTTGATCTCCAGCTGGTAACATGCCAAACAATTGGCCAACCTAATTGCTGTAGGTTCTGCAGGTACTGCAGAAGCAAAGGGACAGGATGTCAGGCACCTGCACAGAGCAGGGGACTTCCACCATCTCCAGTCCCCTCTTTGGGCTTATGGGATATGCTCTGACTATTGAATGAGCAAAAGTATTTGCTTTTGAAGAGCTTTGATGCCACACAGTATCTGTGTGTTCATCTAACAGGCCAGACAAAAGTGTAGAGCCCTGCTGCATTGCTATAATCAAGATTATACCCAGGTCAGAGCTTTCCAAGATAGCTATTTTTCCACAGAAACAAATGAAGCAAGCAGAAGAAATTTAATTTAAAAAATGACCCTGTGCCCATGTTTCTGTTGTTGTTATGTCCGCACGGGTTCAGAACAGAGTGTTAGCCTCACATTTCACTGTTCTGGCTTTCTTCATGCTATGTCGCAACTGTATGGACATCTGAACACAGGAATATTTAATATGTGTGTTTATGTATCTGGGAACGCACAGATGCTAAGTAAACACGTGCTGGCTAGGTCCAAACTTGGAGCTAATTTGCGCATGCTGCATATATATGCATGCAGAGTAGTGTAAGAAAACATGCCTAGCAGGGGGCATATGTACACGTGCTTGGGAACGCAAGCACTGATGCTGACTGAGAATCCTGCAATGTGCACAAATTTGTGCATCTCCCAAGTGGTGGTCCAGGAGCCTGGATGCCAGGTGAACCGGTCCTCATGCACGTGCACATGAGCGTGCACACATCTGGGAAGTGCATACCCTTGTGAGTATGTGCTGAGGGCTCCTTGATGTCCTGCATGAGGGTCCACAGTTCCCTGACAGCAGTGAGTTGGTACCTGCTGGTTTCTCCAAAAACTTCTGCACCTCTCCCAAAAGGTACTTGCAGAAAGCAGAAGGTGCCCAAGCCACTCCAGGGCACGAGGCTTATGACTGACCCAAAGCTGAGGCTGACTTTGGCCACGGGGATGACACAGCACTGAACAAAGCACACTGCCTTCCACTCAAGGCTCTCCAAGACCTTTACTGGCATCAAGAAACTGATCACAGAGCCCCTAAAGAGATGGGTGAGTGCAATTATCTCTGCCCAGCAGATGGGGAAGACGATTTGGCAGACTGGGCTGCCAACGACCCAGACCTTCTGGCTCCCCACACACTGTGTCCACTTTGTCTTAGGCCTCCTCAGCAAGCGGAGCAGCGCTCCCCTTGTCCAGCCCTGGCAGCCACGTGCCTCACTGCTGATAGCTCGTGGGAGGCAGATTACTAGCCAGCTCTATGGTCGTTTCAGACTCTCCCTGGCACCTTTACAGAGCAGCCCAATTCCCAACGATATTAGTAATTATATTTATGCATTATATATATTTAACAAGAAAACATTTAAAATGATTAAATGGCAAGAGGTATCACTTGGAGCCCGCTCCTGGACAGAGCTCTGCTCCAGAGATGTGTAATAAAATCTTCTCCCTCTTTGGAGTCTGTCAACATACTTAACTGGGGGGTAGTGGAGGGGGAGGCAAAGGGAAAGTATTAATCAAGATCTTAAAAAGTTCTCGCTGACAGACCATTTGCCAGCTCTCACTTTAACTGCTTTTGTGGTCCCATAAAAAGTTTCATTACTCACTACAAAATGTGTTTTAATTATTACAGTCATTCTGACATTAAGCCCTGTGTTTCTCTCTTGCTTACTCTGTCCCTCTTTCCCCTTCCTGTCTTTTTTTCCCCTTTCACGTTTTTCCCCCCTTTTATTCTCCTGAYTCTTGTCATCCTCCCACAAGACACGGTGGATACCAGGCCTAAAAAGCACATGTGGAAGGGAGTCTGAAGAGGGAGGCAGGGACACAGGCAAGCTGAGTTCCCCAGATAATGAGGATCTGCAGGATTTCTGATATGTCCTTTAGGGGAGGAGGTTGAAGAGCCCTGATCCCTCCCAACTATACTGTAGGAGAAGTTAATGTTCGGATGCTGAAACAGTCCCACTACTTAAGGCATAAATTACCCTGCAAAAAATCTATTCGCTGGTCCTCAAAAAAGTTAGCAGGGTGATTTCAGGAGGGTCAAGTGAACTACATGATCAATGTCCATAYGACAAAGTATTGTGACAGAAGTAGCAGGAGGATAGGCTGGGGCATTTGCTGTTCCTCTGAGCTGGCATGAGACCGACTAACGTACACAGGGGCTTTATAACCAGCACCTAGCGCAGAGGGCTCAGGCCACTTTTCACATCTGGCTACTTTGCTCCCCAGATTCCTCCCTGCACAGACCATCATAGTGAGGATGTGGGTTATTCCAGAGGGCCATCCCACAGACCCCTCCTGCTGTTCTGGCAGGCACTGCTTTGCCATTTGCCATTGGTTGAGCCTCACACCCAAAGCAACAAAAGAATCTCCTCATTTGTACAGTGTCTGGTGTAACACAGTGCAGGCCAAACCAAGGCCCTTAGGCTCCATTGTAAGAGAAAAACTAATAACAATTAATTAATAGCACTGGAGATTCCCACTTGGCCCCCAGCACCTCCCATACGCCTCTCCTTACTTGTACAGACCATCTGGTTCCAGGCACTTGAAAATGACTGAATAGAGGCTGGTTTCAGGGACGTCTCCATGGCTCCTACCCGCTGCCACACAGGAGGTTGCAAGGCCAGAAAGCAAATCATCTGCAAAGCTCAAGGATTCTCCTGGAGAGCAGACAGAAGAGCAAGATGAAAACATTAATATAGATCAAACTCTTGCTGACCATTCAAAGAATGCAGAAACACGTAGCACAGGCCTAAGGGCCATCAATAAAGTCCAGTTGGCTGTGGCTGGTAGGAATAACCCCAAATCTATATGGAGAACATTGCCTATGGACAATGTAGAAAGCAAGTGGAAAACATGCTTGGGCCATTGGTTGCATTAGCAACCCATAGCAGAAAGAAAAGGGGCCTATACCAGGCAGCCAAAAGCAGAGAACATGAAGTCATAGCTTGGACAGCGGAGCAGTGCATTCATAGAGCATATAGGCAACATGTGGACTCACTTCAAGGACAGCTGACAAGCCAACTGCAAACACCACATGCAGGAGCTGCATCCAAGAACGGGTTCCATGGCTGCTCCTCGAGCTGATTGCTGCAATAACCACAGTTCAGCCATGCTGAAGGACTTGCACTTTTTTAATATTTAAATAAAAATAATTTTWAAAAAGGCTGAAAAGCTTGTTTGCTGTTTCACAAGGCTCATGATCTAGCTCGTGATCCAGCTGRAAGTGAAAAATGCCCCAACAATTAAGAATTTAGGCCTGATTATATCCTGCTTTGTCCATGAGCCTCACTGTCCTGAGGCAGGGTCTCCACCGGGTAGGTCCCATTGCTTTCCATTTCCATTTTGCAAGAACATAACTGAAAATCCAACATGCTAAGTCCTGCAAAACCCAGCCACCTGCCCTAATTGTGCCCTCACCCACACAGGCAGCAATCAGAGGAGTGTGCTGAGGTTGATAGAGTTGTGCTGCTAAAAGCAAACTCAGACACAGATTGTCACATAGGGTACCTTCTACATGCGTAAATGGCAAGACAGTACAGTAGAGAGAGGAGGAGAATTTATTTCTCAGCACATTTCTTTCTTTATTTTTCTGAAAGTAAATTGACTGGGAACCACTGCAATGAAAAATAATTCTAGATTCTTGGTATTCGGTGTAAGAAATAACCCATTGATTTAATCAGCACAGAGCACCTAATTGTGTGGGTTGATTATCCAGGTAGAAAAAAARCCCTCCTCTCCAAACCCCCAAACCACATTTGCGTTTTGTCTCAAAATTCAAAATTCAATAACAAATGTCCCCCTTGGCTACAGAAAAGAGCAGCAATAAATTCTTTTCCTCCCTAAAGGAATCCAAGTCTTAATTACTCATTTTAATGCTCCCAGCACGACTTGTTCTTTCCAAACTTTTTTCAGGCAGTTCTGTCACTAGTCTCCGTAGCTTAACCTAGTTACAAGACATGGGTTTGTACCAAACTCCAAGCGAATTCAACAGGCAGGTTTGATTGGCAGCGGTAAAATCACTGCTTGGAACTTGGAAGCATTGTACGGCCTTGAGAAAGTCCCTTAGCTCTGGATTTATGATTTAAACAAACAAACAAACAAAAACCTCTTGGCTTTTACTTGGCTATTGCTCTTTTCCAACTTTCATTTCCGTCTTTTTCATACAACATATAACTGGACTGTGGAACAACCTGTCACAAGAAGTCACTGAGAACAAAGACACTGCTATGACTTAAAAACAGATGAATCACAAACACATAATGAAGAAGCAGGAACAGTTTGTGTTATCAAACTATAGAGAGAACTTTTAAAACCTCATCAGGCCTCAAGCAACCTCTATTTTCACCAGGAATAAGGTTCCTAGGGGACATATTATTCCATTGTTGCCTGTYGTGGGGACCTCACATGTTCCTCCAAAGCACTCAAGACTGGCTGCAATAGGAGGCAGTGCAGACAGCCRAGTCCACCCTGCCTGGCATCTCCTATGACACTACCAAAGGTGTCAGGGCTTCAATTCATTTTACTGTGTTTTCCTTACTGCCCTTTTTTCATTTGTTTTCCTTGCTCAAGGCTCCAAGCAAGCAYGTGGGCCTTGCTCTTTGCAAGCTGGAGCCATGCATCTCTGAGCAGATGCCGTACAACCCAGTCATAGGTGCTCATTTGCACTGGGATCAGCACTGACCTTTTCCTACTACACCTCTGTTGTTTAGACCTGCAGCAGCTGAGTTGAAGCTTTCCCCATTGCCACATGGGCAGACAAGTTCCTTGGGGAGAACTGGCAGGTGGTTTGGGCTGAGATGAGGCGGGATGCACAGGAAGGACTATGTATTTGTGCACGTTTCAGTGTTCTCCTGGCTTATGGCTACACTTCCCCRTTACCAGTTTGAAATGTTTTGCAGTTGCAGAATTTTAGAGAAATTCAGTTGTGTGTGGTTGTTGACTTATCAAATAACCTCTAACTGGCGGAAGAAACAGGGTAAAAACTATGCTTATCTTCAAAAAAAAAAAAAAAAGCATGAGGACTATTACCTTATAGAGAACCTCACAAGACAAGAAAGAGGAACAGTATCAGCACCCAAGTCCTTTCCAGCCTTTCCTAAGAGCATTTTTTTTAGCATCAGAAGACACAAACCAAATCAAAACAGAAAAAAAAAAAAAATGGTCCCAGTCACTAAAGCATCACATAGCCAAGAAGACAGAGATTAACACTGAACTTGGCATCTTTCCCTCACTTCACCCTGTCTGGCTAGACACAAGCACCTCTGTGTTTCTGCAGTGACCTTCTCATGTGCCTCACAGCGGGAAGGTGAAATGGGCCCTGGCTTGCAGTAAATGCTGAGACAAGTGTTCTAGGGTGAATTCTGGAAGATCCTATCAGCCATCCAGGCACCAAACTACAAGGTGAAATTTTACATTATGGCCAGTGCTTTGTGAGAGTGTCGGATGGCATTTTTGTTTGAAAGTCTGGTCCCTCAAGACACTAAACTGCTCGCCTGACATACTCATTCAGTACTAGGTTACAAGAATGCTGACAATTAATATGAATTTCAACCATCTCTTTTGTTTCACATGGGAATTTGAGGACCCCCAAGATGGCCACATGTGTAACGAAGCCATATTAAATATAACTCTGCAGCTCCAGCCTTCCTGGAGAGTCTGAAACCTCATCCTGCACCCGAAGTTCAGCAGCTGCCTGTAGTCCAGCTCAATGGCAGCTCTGGGGAAAGGCAAGCTGAGCCCTGGCTATTCCACATAATATCCTGCTGAATATCCCCTTGCTGTAGTCCAGTGCTCCAGAATCACTGCCTTCCATATACTGCCTTCCATACGCTATGGCTTATATGCAAGCAAGCTGGAAATTTATGGAGTGATGCTTGCCAGAGTCTCTTGACAGCTGATATAGCAGCTCAGAGAGGTGTGCCATGTTCCCTTCCCTTCAGCTTGAGCTCAGAATGGCATGGCTCTTATTTTTTCCCCAGGAGGCTGCAAAAATCACTGTTTCAGACATGGCACTCATTTATTCTGCTGCAGCCAGACATCTAGTCAACAACTTTGTCCGGCTGACCTCCCAGAAACTTTTGCTCTCCAGCTAGTGTACTAGAGAGCCGTGCAGATTGCTTTTGCTGGACTGCAGAGCCAAGCAGCAGGAGGTGGTTTGGTGGATGAGAGAAGGACAGAAGTGCAGCCGGGCTGAAGGAACAAGCAGTGAAGGCCGAGAGAGCTGGCATGCGGGCTGCTGCGGCTGGCTACAGACTGCTCCCGCCCCACCACACACACAGGACCACGTGTTAGGGGACCCAGACGCAGCAAGGAAGCTTTCTTTCTTGCTCTGTGGAGCCGCTGTGCCATAGACACTTTAGCCTAAGGCACCTATTGTTTGGCTGCTACAGGGGACTGGGGAGCTGCTCCTAGTTCTGCATTTCTGGGACATGGGGCTGAGTGAGGAGCTGGAGCAGGGCACAGAGACTGAATCTTTGCAGTTGAAGAAAGAGGGAATTCAAGTCAATGAAGGAGGTGGCAGAGGAACTAGCTGGGCAGAGAGACTGTGATGAGCAATGGTGCAGGACCAAGGCGGAGACTTGGACTGGCAGTCCATGGGCTGGAGGCATATCTTTCACGTTGTCTATCCCAAGGAGAAGAGATAGGAAAGGAAATTGCAGGGCAGGGACAAGGAGTGCAAAGGGTGAAGCTAGAACCTGCAGGAAGAATGGGAGCAGGACATAAAAATGAGCAACYGCTGAATTAAAATGCAAAAGAAAATTGCACAGCTAACTGTGTTGAAGGCACTCACAAGGTTTCGAGTGCTCTTTTAGGGTAGTTATAAAAGGAGGGGGAYAGGCTAGCAATGAGCAATGCCATTAAATGCAGGAGGGGTTGTGACACACCATAGCCTGACTCTGCCACTGAATTCAGTGGGATCTGCCTTGATTGCGGAGTGCACTGCTAGTCCACCCTAGCAGTGTGACTAGACTGCTAGGACTGCTAGGACTGCTAGTTCCTCCCATGGACACATCCATGGGAGGAACTGAAGCTCACAGGGTTTGCCAAGGTGATGTCAATTTGTTTTAAGCCCAAACCCTTGGAATGAAATCCCTACAGCGAAAGGGTGCCGAGCCTCCGAGGAATCTTCCTCCTTCACTGACCTTGCTACATTGGAAAAAAAGCAGAGTTTGCTACTGAAACAGCAAAATAGATGCTAGCAAAGGTGCTGGCACCTCAGCCTCAAGGCTGCAAGTATTTCTGCACCTGTATAAGCTGCARTGAGATTGCTGCTGATGTCAAACTGTCCACATCATGGAGCAAATGTGGGGCCAGCTGAGGGATTCATGTTGTCCTCAAGCAAGGGGACGACAGACCCCGAATACAGTCCTATCAAGTAATAGTGCTGCTGCATTGTAGCATTCTGTAGCATTAGAGGAATACTGACCTAACTGCACAGGGCCTGGTGACAGTTCAGTTAGAGGGTACTGTACAGAGCTCATCTGCTGGTCTGTATTCATTAAACAGGTAGCAAAATTGGAAAAGTAGGAAATAAGGATACATGGGGGAATAATGAAAGGCACAAGGAGTTTACCATGCAGTGAAGACAAAGCAAAAAAAAAGACCAAGTAGGATACATTACTCTATGGATACATCAACAGGGCAAGCACTCAGAGGG